GTGGGAAGTTGTACCAGTAGCAGGGCTGGTGAGCGGGGCTCAGGACTTTCTGGGGTCCTTTGGGCTGATCGAGGTTACGAGGTTACGGTGCTGCTGGAGGTCCCTAAAGATTTCCTGGGGATTGGCAGGAGGCTGGTGGTGGGGGATGACTTCATGGTTTCTCCAGGGCGTCTCCCCTGTGGGTGGGGGAGCAGGACTTGCTCTAGAACTTCAGGTCTGAGGGCTCCAGTGACTAAACCCGGGGGGCTTAGGGGACACAGGGCCACGGGGAGGGACACCCACCCCGGGCTGGTCTAGCAGCACCTGCTCTCTGCACAGCTTCTTTGTTTTGTTAAGAACAATGGTGCCTCTTAAACCCCTTTAAGGAACGTTTAAAAAGTAACCCTTTAGCGATAAGTGCCAGGACCTGATTCTCCACATAAATGTGCGTTTGGGTACTAGAGTGGGAAAGGCTTATTTGACCACAGCCATCCTTTCTTTTAGGGGCTGTCCTGCCAGTAAGTGGCAGGGACACACGGCACTGGCTTTGCTGTCTCCGCTCTAGTGGACAGAAGTCCACCTCGGATGCAGAGCGCCTAGACATGAATATTTGTCATCTGGGCTTTAGTGGAGTTGGCACTTTTTATTTTATCAAGATATCACCAAAATACGCCATATATACTTTACTCAAATATAATGTAATGAACAAAATGAACTAACAAGCAAAATAGAGACAGACTCATAGAAGTAGGCTGACAGCTGTGGATGTCGGCGGCTGGGTGGGTGTGTGGAAGCATTTAGTAAAAAATAAAGAAAAAGAGAAAAAACTCTTGGACAACAACTACAGTGTGGTGATTGTGGGGGAGCGAGGGAGTGGAGTGAGGTGGAGGAGGGTCCAGGCGGGGTGGAAATTTGCTTGGGGTGGCAAAAACACAATACAGTGATGATGTGTTGTGGGGCCGTGAACCTGAAAGCTGCATAATTTTGTTACCCAGTGTCACCCCAATAAATTCAATAAAAATGAAAAAATTAAAACCAGTTATATACAAACAGCTGAGACATGAATTAGGCATTGGTCTCCCAGACCCAAATGATCAAAATGATGTTGACTTACTATATGTGTGTCATTTCACTGGCAGTCCATCATGTGCTATGACAAATATTGCAACACAGACCGTAAAAGTTTAGAGAGGAAAAGGGAATTCATTTTCCAAAGGTGAGTGTGTTCAAAGTAAACATCAGCTAATTTGGTCCGTATTTCATGGGTGCAACTGTTTAGTTCACGTTGAGATGAATATCTAATAAAAGGGGCACAGCTATTCCTGTGAAGCAGTTCTCAGAAGCTTCACTACTGTAACAGCCAGACAGTGCTGTGTAGGGTGAACAGCAAAGTTTAACCAGCTCAGAACTGTCTTGAATAAGGGCATTTAACAAAAGTTTATGGTTTGCCAATGAGAATGTGAATTCCTTGGATGTTACTTATAGTTTATGTGATATTCATTTTCTTAACTAAAATAACTTTTATACTATACATTGGAAACTTAAAGTTAATTGTCTATCATAGACATTTTACAAAGCCTCATACATACAAGACATTGAAACAAAAATTAGGTTTTTTGATGTTACCATTACTTGAATATGTTGCTAGCAGAGAATAAATAGGACATACATATTTTGAGGATTTTATTCAGTATTGCACACTAATACATTAGTAACATATTGATATATTGTGTATAATATACTAAATGTTATTAAATTATTCTAGAGATTCTAACTCCTATAAAAATCCAATAATAGTACAAAAAAGTAGAGACTAATCTTAGGTATGAAGTAGTAGTAAAATGAATTTACCTCTTTCATCCCTTGCCCAGACTTGGTTTTGTTCCTATCCTTTCACTAAGTGGTCATTTTAGGTCTATCCTTGGCCTCCTTATTGTGAAATCACCGGGCTCCTTCTTCTGGAAGGTTCTGAACAATGTTGACATTGTAGTCATTTTCTGCAAAGCCCTCCATCTGTCTCCTCAATTCTGGGCCATTCCAGTTCTCATTCTTGATGACTGCTCTCAAGGACCTAAGCCTTCTGAGATCTGAATGGCATCTGCAGGGGAGTTAAACTCTCCTGGTCCTGGGTGACCTTCCTCCAAGCCCTTCCCTGTTTCCTTGCATCTGCTGGCTCTGTGGTGTCTGATCTTTACAAATATGCAGGATCTGCCTGACCATTTTCCTCCCACGGTTAGACTTTTCTAAAAGAACATTGCCAGATGACTAGGTGAAACAATAATGAAACTAAAATATGAAAGGATAAAACAAATTTTCAAGACACAAAGTCCAAGAACCTAATAAAACTTAAAGACTATGGACTCTCTGGCAGGGTCTCTGGTCTCCAGCTCTGCTCTGTCTTAGGCCCTCACCCACCTTGTCAGATCATGTGTCCTTCACGAGGCACCACCACACATTGGCCACCTTTACAGGCACCAAAGGCAGTGAGTCTGTTCTGTATCTTCTTCACCTCTTGTGCTGCATTGCCCATGACGTCTGTCTCTAAACTCCATTCTTAGCACTGTGGCCCTCGCCCAGAAGGGGAGGAGCTACCAGTGTAGACCCTCTTCCCAGCTGCTTCTAACCCAGGTCTCCAGCTTCCTGCTGGACACTCTCACTCCAATCTCCCACCACTGCTTTTAACCCACACAGTCACCAAACCAAAGTTCTCACGTCCCCTTCCAATCTCAAATTCACACTCCTCCCCAATGTCCTTCTCTTTGAATCCCCCCACAGCTTTTCCACTCACCAGGCTCAGGCATGTAAGACTCTTCTCTCATTCCTTCCTCTCTCATCTCTGGCTCTGCTCAGAAACTACACACTGCTTCATTTTTGTCTTCAGAAAGTCTCTCTTCTCTGTCCTTCCTCTTTTCCATTTGCCCCTCCTGACATCCAGCCTGGCCTTCAACACTCTCTCCAAGGTCACCACACCCCTCCTGAGTTCCAGCGGCTATAGACAGGCACCTTCTTTCTTGAACAACACTTCAGCATCTCTCTCCTCTCTCTCAGTGGGTTAATGGTTCTCTAGTTCTTCAGTTCGTGTGCACCACCAGTGCTTACTGAATGCCTACTGTGTTCAAACATAGCCTCAGCCTAGCTCCATGTGACAAGCAGCCATTAAATTCACTGCTTTTTAATTCAATGCCCTGTGTCAGTCACACGATCACACGTATTCCCACCACACAGGAACCTCGCTCTCTTCTTAAAAGGTGCTCCCTTCACTCTCCCTTCTATCCAAAGCCATGTCTCCTAAGCCCAGTTCCAATTCCACTCCTCCCCAGAGAAGAAGTGTATTAGTATTAGTACACTTCTCTGCCCTTATAGAGCTCCCTATTCTCCTGAATTTTCCCATCTCCACAAATAGATCTCAAGATTGAGACCATGTTTAAGTTGAAGACACAGCATGTGCTAATGCATAAAGGTCGTGTTTCAGGGCCCACAGGAAGTTTGGTGCCCAAAGTGCTGGACCAGGTCCTCCTGGGTTGTGCACACTGGCCATGGCTCTTGTCCTGTGTCCCAGAGGCAGATGTCCAGCAAGATGGAGGGAGGGGCTAGGGCCAAGGGCAGAGTTAGGGGTCTTGTGACAGTCTGGCGCTGATGGCATTCCTCCAAGCTCAGTGGGATGGCTGTGGGGTCTGTGTAGGAGTCAGAACTGATAGCTTGGAGGAGAAGCAGGATGTAACCTAGAATGATTCCCTGACTTCTGACATCCCTCATTGGAGAGTGGGTTGTTTCATGTTTAATAATTAAGTCTCTCAATGAAAACTCGTTAATGTCTAAAAACATGCAGAATAAGACAGACGGCAGTTATAATATGGGGCAAGGAGGCTGGTAGGATACATGAAGACTAAGATTTCTCTATGGAGCTCAAGTGACCAAAACAAAGCATTGGAAGTTTACTCAAAAAGAAGACTGACATTTGCCTGTTGTTGTTGTTGTTTTAGATCACATGGAGTAAAGTTTTGTTTGTTTATTTGCCTTCAAACCAATTCCCAAAAATTAGTGTTGTTAAGCATTTTAAGATTCAACATGATAGAGTTTTCTTTATTCTTGTATGTATACTCACAGCCTAGCCCATGTTCCTTACTGCACAGACTGGTCCTGGGAACAGCGGTGCTGTCTTTGGTTCCAGTTTGGAGCATCTGACCCGTTTGAGCAGAGGCCACATGGAGGGCACCTTGTAGGCTTGGTCCCCAGCGTCCAGGGAGCACTGTCACCTTCACAAAGTGGGCCCACGGGTCTTACTTCCCTCTACCCGAGAGGCAGTTCACTGCCTGTGACCATGGACCCCACCTTACAGTCAGAGACACAGGCTCCTGCCCAAGGACATGCCAGACTGAACCATTTATGTAGCATTTGCAAAGAGAAAGATTCAAAAGGAAAGTAAAAAATGGAGAAGGTGACAGATTAATACAGCAGAAGTTATGAAGGTGGAATGAGCATGGAGCAATTTGGGAGAACATTGTTCTAACCTCACGAGAGCAGGACAGGTGAGACTAGGAATTGGCCAGCTGCACAGGAAGCCTGAGAGGCAGAGTCCGGAAGAGCCCAGGGTGGAATTAGGAGCTGGGAGAGGTCCGTGTCCTTTCGGAAAGTCATTTGTCTTTCTTGCTCAATTTCCTCATCTCTGAAGTGACTTAAGTAACCTGTGTTTGTATCATTTAACCCATGCTTTTGTAGGGTGGCTACAATACTGTATTCATGCTGTAGGCCTTGGTTTAACCCATGTGTCATGACACTCGCAGACAGGTACACAATGCACACACATACAGGTGTACACACATGAGTACACTATACACTGATGCACATACACATTGTGTGAAGAGATCTGCAGGACAGCCCACATTGGGAAGCAGTAGGGCAGCCACACAATTACATTGTATTCCAACTTCTATGTACAAGAACAGATGGCTGGCCTTGAGCTCACCTGTCCTACCCGATTATTAACAAGCATGTTCCCTTATGTTCCCTTACAGGCTGGCAGTCTGGAGCCATGGGTGACTGGAGCCTTCTGGGGAGACTGTTGGATACAGCACAGGAGCACTCCACGGTTATAGGAAAGGTCTGGCTGACGGTTCTGTTCATCTTCCGAATCTTGTTGCTGGGGGCTGGGGTGGAGTCGGTGTGGGGAGATGAGCAGTCAGGTTTCACCTGCAACACCCAGCAGCCGGGCTGCATGAACGTGTGCTACGACAAAGCCTTCCCCATCTCCCACACCCGCTTCTGGGTGCTGCAGATCATCTTCGTGTCCACGCCCACCCTCATCTACCTGGGGCACGTGCTGCACATCATGCGCATGGAAGAGAAGAAGAGAGGCAGAGAGGAAGAGCAGGCAAAGGGAAAGAGCGACCATGGCCAGAAGGATAGTCCCCAAGTGCGGGACGACCAGGGAAAGGTCCGAATCGCTGGGGCCTTGCTCCGGACCTACATATTCAACATCATCTTTAAGATGCTGTTTGAAGTGGGGTTCATTGTTGGGCAGTACTATTTGTATGGCTTTCACCTGGAGCCACTCTACCGCTGTGACCAGTGGCCCTGCCCCAACCTCGTGGACTGCTTCATCTCCAGGCCCACAGAGAAGACCATCTTCATCATCTTCATGCTGGCCATCGCCTGCCTGTCCCTCTTACTCAACGTGCTGGAGATATACCACCTGGGCTGGAAGAAGCTTAAACAGGGCATGACCAACCACTATGACCCAGAGACCGCTGAATCCAGGGTGGGGGCCATCATATCTGGGGATGTGCCCCCACTCCCCTCCCACTAGGCCACAGACACTAGTACTATGGGGCGCCCTTCTACTACACGCACTCTGTCTCTTCCCTGGGATGGGCAACCATCATCATTCCAGGGCCTCTCCAGCAGCATCAGCCTTCAACATGGCAGCTCTTTCCCAGGCACAAGGGAAGGGCCACCCTGACAAATTCTACAATAGTAACCACCACCAGCAATGACAGGCAGTGTTGGGCCAACCAGGAGCCTGGGCAGCAGATTCTGTGAGGAAGGTCTCCCCACCTGTGTCCACATCCTCCTCCTTAACCCCTCCAGGCAGCCCCCTGCAATCCCCTCAGGAGGGCAGAGAAGGCAGCAAAGAATCTGTCGTGTGGAGAATGGGGACAGCAGCATCCGGGGAGAGAGCAGATTGGAAGTGACTCCTGTTGAGCGGCAGCGGGCAGTGACCCCGCTGTGGAGGTGCACATGCCGCCTGTGCTCCCCACAGACCCAGACGGTCAAGCAAGGCCAGTAAGGCCAGCAACAGTCAGGCCAGACCCAGTGACTTGGCCATGTAGTGGTGGCCTCCCCAGGTAGCTTTATAATGACCACCTTTCTAGCATCAAAACCAAAGTGCACTTCAAGCGAGCAGCTAGAGAGCCAGGGTGACAGAGAGCACTGGAGTGGGGGGGAGAAGACCACCGAGAGGTCAGGTTCGGTGTCGGTGCTTGCTGTCCTTAGCGCTGGAGGTGGAGTGGGGAGGGTGACGATGCTTTCTACGGGGGATGGGGCAAAGTGGCCAGTGCCCTTTACAGATATTCATGGTACCCAAGAGCCCAGAGCCAGGAGACCTTCTCGGGGGTTTCTGTCTCTGAGGCGGACTGCTCTGCGATGACAGAGGCAGGTGTCTGCAGTCACTTCAGTTTGGGGCCATTGGGTTTTCTGTCCTGAGCTCTCCGGAGCCTCTGGGCAGCACAGAAGGCATCGGTGGTGCTTAAGTATCTGTCTGATACTTTTAACTCAGAGTTGAAGTTCATTTCAGATATTTGCCAAACTGCACTGAAAGGAGACTGGGAGCAAGCCTATGTAGTGTCATTTGAGATTCTGAAATTGCATGTGAAGCCCCCATTTTAAAAGAAATGCTTTACCTTCATGAGTCAGTTCATTACTATGAGAAAGTACAAAATGAAATAAAAGCAGGGAAAAACTTAAGTGCCTTTAAATAATTGAAGTTCTAAAATGCGAGGTTAAAAGTAATTGCTGCTGCAAGGAAATTATTTATACAGGTGAATGAATAAACTACACTTTTTTAACAGTGCAAATGAACTTCATGTTTCTTAACCATTTTTTGTGGGCAGCCCAGTAGCTTTCTAGAGTGTAAATAAAGTTCTGTGCATTCACTCCCTGTGTAAGTGCATGTGTCATTTTGATTTGTCATCCCCCCGGGTGGCTGCTGTGACAGGGAAGGCTATTTGTGTGGGTGAGTGTGGCTAAAAGATGACAGAATTTCCTGTCCTGCACACACAGTGTCTGAACCGCAGAGCAGTGGTGGTGCTGTGTGATCCTCATCACACTTTTCACCTCCACCAGCCACCGCTTGTAGTTTTTATTCAGCAGAACACTGTCCACTGTCAATTAATCCATTTGTTTTTATGAATCCCTTTAATTTTCTGAAGATTCTTTTGTGATGAAAAGACTATGACTAATGTGAGCAGATAGCTCATTAGTGTGTTCAGCTGGCTGACTATCTCCCGAGCTTGAGCTAAGCTCACTTCCGACACATGTCCTGCAGTCTTCCGCAGACAGATGGACACGGAGAGGGAGGCAAGCCCCCCAGAGAGTATGTAATTGTTGTCTCGGGTCTCCCAGGGCTGGTGCGGAAGCACTGCCGCTGTGGGTGCCTGAGAGAAGCCGCCATCACACACAGGTGGCCCTCGGGTGCAGGCTGTGAGGCTGAGTTCTCTGGCTGAGAAAGGCCACTAGAAAGTCCTGTGTGAGCCGCACGGTGTCAGCGAAGCTGTGGTTGTTTAGAAAATGCAATAGCAGTCATCACACAGGGAAAGTGCAGCTCGTTGAATGAGTGTGAAATTTGTCCAGATTCTTAGGTTCTTCCCTGGAGACTGTTAATAATGATGATAAACTTTTTGGACCACAATTTGATACTGAGTGGGGTTGGAGTAGTGAGTGGCACTGTAATTGTGTTTAGTTTTTGAATTTTAAAATAGGATTTTATTCCCATATGTCACAAAGAGGCCACATTCAGTTGACCACAGTCTACTTGGCCCACTCAAAGCCTTGGTAGAATGTAAAATTAGATTCACCGCCTTGAAAAACCTGTCATTTATACAGAAATTAAATTCTGCAATAGTGCATAGGGGATTTCTGCAGGTGAATGTTCTCATTTCAGTTTCAATCCTGTGAGAAATGAAAGCTCATCTTACAAAGCTCATCTTTGAGGGATCTGTGACCCTGAAGTGGGGCTTCTCCCTCCCACTGAGAAGTGGGAAAGGTCAGTCTCTGTTCAACCCATCATTGTAAGCATCCAAATGTCAAGAGAAACAGAAATAGCCTCTCATTTTGGGCCAGATTCCAGATATTATTTTTTCTAATTATTTGGAAATTTCACTGAAATGATTTTCCTCTCAATGTAAAAGATTATTTTTTATCCTTAAGTTTGTTATGAAACCCAAATGCTATGTGTAACACATATTTTTATGATAATTTGTCATATATAAGGCAATTATGTTCTTCCATCCCTGCATTTAGAAGCCCAGCCATCCAGTTGGCACAGCACACTCTGAAAAAGATAAGAAAGGTCACTACATCACTACATTCACAGTGCCCAAATCCACTTTTTAAATTAGAAATCACCTCTTATAAAATCACTTTCTCTTTTTAAACTTTATTTGCTGAGTTATTCCTTTCCCCCATGAAACTGACAAAAGGATATCTTACATTAGAGAGAAAGAGAGAGAGAGAGAGAGAGAGAGAGAGAGAGAGAGAGAGAGAGAGAGAGTTAAAAATAGCAAGTCAGAATATTCTGATGTTCCCTGGCTTTCTTTGACCTTTAAATGGCTGCATCATAGAGTTCCCATACAAGAACACCTAGAATATGAATGCAGTCCAAACAATCTTTAAAAATTAACCTGATGAGATTAGGTCTCTTCTCAGTTTAGGTTTTTCTCCCTATTAATACTTTATTTAATTCTTTACTATTTCTAAATAAAATTTTTTATTTTAAATATTTTCTTCTGATATTTGTAACAACTCTTTAAAAACTCTAATAAGTCAAAGTTTTAAATAAATATAAGAGCTTTCAAATTCTTGTATATATTCCAATATCATTTATAAACTTAGTCATATGCTCTTAAACATTTTAACTACAAGTTTAAAATTAATTACACATTTTACATGAAAAACCTATTTTGCCAGATTCCCTTAAAGATGACAAGCATACAATCTCTCAGGAGGTGACACTGACAGAAGACAGGTCAGGGATTGCCTGGAATCAGGTTAAGGAAGGAGTAACTGTAAAACAGATAAGGAAACTACTGGTGGCTACACAAGTATAGACATTTTTCAAAATTCAATAAGCTGCACCTTAAAATAGACTTATCATATGTTACTTATATGCCCACAACATTGACCTAAGGGGGGAATATATATATATATATATGTGTGTGTGTGTGTGTGTGTGTGTGTACCCATACACATACAAATTATCAATGGATTTAAAATTTAAACTTAACACAAAAGGACTAAGTCTTCACTCTCAATGACTTTACCATCTCTACATTTAATTCTATACAGGTTTTTTTTAAGTAGTTGAGATGAGATCTGAAAGATGAGGTGTGAGGGGACACCAAGCTGAGGAACAGGAGGGGTCAGCTGAGGTTCTCCATCAAGAGGTATACAAGGCAGAAGTAAGCAGTCAGATGGCTCTTGAATTTCTGCCAGTTTTGGACCAGCTGTCACGAGATCTGCTGGTGGGGTAGGTGGAAACAGGGACCGTGCTACATGCCTGAAGACACAACTGAGTAAGAGAGACTGGCCAGAGGGAGTGTTCGTTTCCTGAGGCTGCTATGCAGATGGCCACAAACGCAGTGCCGTACAACAACACTGATCTACCCTCAGACAGTTCTGGGCGCAGAGGTCTGAGGCCAGTGTTACTGGGATAACACTTAGCTGTTGGCAAGGCTACCTCCTACCAGAGGCCCAAGGGGAAGATCTGTTCCTATTCCATTTCTGGAGGTTGTGGCATTCCCTGGCTCCTGTCAACACCCACTTCTGTGGTCACATTTTCTCATCTGTGCGACTGTCAAATGTCCCCTCTTATAAGGACACTGGTGGTTACAGGACTACCTCTCCATCTCAAGATCCAAAACTTAGTCACTTCTACAAAGTCTCTTTTGCCATATGAGGTCAGATTGCCACGTTCCAGGTTCCAGGATGTGATGTTACGGTGGCCACAGGTGAGCCCGGCAACAAGGAGTCGGTATTTTGGAGTGAAGAAGCACTTTCCGTGACCTGCCCAGACAGCTGCGTGTTTGACCTGGTCTTCCTCCAGTTTGTATTCATGGTGTGGTGCGGATAAAGTGTGTGTATTAGACAGATAATTCAGGATGGAAGGGACTGAACCATCTGGCCCATATCCAATCCGCAGAAGGCTTCACATAAATGAAATGTTACTTGGAAGCCCACTTTTTAAATGTTTCCAGAGAGGCCCACTTCACTGCGAAGCCCCCAGGGTGGAGCTGGCAGCCTCTCACTCACACTGAGCGGCAGGATGAGGACGCACCCCCATGGGGCTCCGGGTGAGCTGGAACCCCAAATGTCACACTGAAGGCGACCAGCTCCACCGGAGGTGGCCTCAGGCAGGCTATGCATTCGTCCATCAGATGCTCATGCCTGGGGCCAGACGGCTGCTGACAGAGTCTCTGGGGCCAATACAGACAGGGACCCTTTGCCCAGGTAGGGATACTGATAACATGACTGCCTCCTATCAGTTACTGCTCCAACAGCCTAGAGCAAGCATGTCCAACGCAAAGGCTAACACAGGCCAAATAAACACGGCTTAAGTTTATGTGGGCCGAAAAAACACAAAAGCTTGAATTTTCATATAAACGTAGATTTACTTCGATAGAGAAATGATGAATACAAAGGGCTGAAATAAATGAATAATAGTTAACATAAAATAATAGTACATTTTAATAAAAATTAATATTTTTTCTTGAACATTA